AGCAGTTTGAGGAACCTCCAAACAGTTTTCCATAGTGGTTGTACTAGTTTGCATTCCCACCAGCAATGCAGAAGAGTTCCTTTTTCACCACATCCTCGCCAACATTTGTTGTTTCTAGTTTTTTGAAGATGTGCCATTCTCACTGGGGTGAGGTGGTATCTCATTGTGGTTTTAATTTGCATATCCCTTATTACAAGTGATGTTGAACATTTTTTCATATGCCTGTTGACCATCTGCATTTCCAGAAAGAGTAACTTTTTACTGTGCATCTTGGTACGGGCGAGGAGTTAGAATGGCTTGTGAGAACGTGCACTGAGTTAATTCCTTGCAAAGCAGCAGCTCTCAGCAGCAGTTTGTGCACAAAATTAGGAAAGAGAAAGCACGCAGGAGGTCGGAGGGAGCTACAGAACCTACCTGAACTTGAGTCAAATCCAGCTTCTCACCTGGGACGGTCTTCAAAGACATCTGACCTCCACTTTCCAGATGTTGCGGATCAGTGCAGTTTTGTTTAAGCAAGTTTGCATGGCATCTGATCCCATAAAGATTTCATAAACAGAATTCCACCTGCAAAGTGCCACATGAAATTAAAAAAAAAATGTTTAGGAATTATTATCAGTCAAACTCAAAAAAGTGGTTTGAATCCGAATGATGAAAGTGAACCAGGGTAGTTTGTAAATTTTAATTGTCATTAAGTACATTAGTAATATAATATAAATTCAAATACATTTTGAAATTTCAATAAGAAACACCAGCCAGGTGGTAGCACTAGTTCAAGACGAAATGGAACCTGGTGGCCCCCACACTCAATTTTCAAGCAGACTAGTATTTCTTTATTTTTTATTCCTAAATTAGTTTTCTTTTAAAAAGAATCCTTTTATTATTCTTAAATGTGTTCTTTACTTAGAAGTCAAAAGGCAATTCTCAAAATAGGAGATACATTCGATCATAGTGACTAATAGAAAGACTAAGTTAAGAGCCTTATTAAATATTCCCTTTTTTTTTTTTCTGGCTTTCCCTTTATTTTCTTCTTTCCCTCCCCCTAACTTCACAATGGCTGGGATCTTATTTCCTTGCTTTGTTCATCGGACTCCCCACCCTAACGTGGACTTCCCACCAGGCGCATTCATTATTTCTCTAAGCTGCTTGTCAGCTTGTCAACCTTCATCTTTGTCTCATTCTTCATTCTTACATGTCCTCCTCACCCCAGAGGCGAGCTGGCTTCCCTTTGGTTTGGGGGCTCTGGTGTGAGTCCTCTCATGACAGCATCCAGGCCACACAGGAGACTCTTGGAATCATTGAAAGATAGGTCTTGCCAAAGCAGGACACATGCTTTGACTGGATTCGGAAATCTCTAGTGGGCTCATCCTAGGAGTAAACAAGCCTGTGTGTTGGTTTTAAAGATATTCAATAAAAGATTGCTATTTGCAGCCTTTGAGCACTTGTGAAAAGTTTAAAGGATACAATTTCTAGGCCTGCTCTTCCTTCTAATCTCTGAGAAAGTGTTTGTGAATTGTCCTTACTTGGTAAAAGTCCTTCAGTTACTCCTGGGTGCCCTTCTCTGCTCCTTTATCTCTACCAATCCCTTTGACAAAGAACAAAAACCTAGTTCAATTTATTTTTCTTCTTTGGTCAGAAAGATACCTCCCTAACCCATCGCCTAACCTTTAAGGGCAAAGTGAATCTGCATTGAAATCTCTCCAACAACATTATCTATCATTTACTCTGTGCCACAATTTTATGAGCAGTTTTCTTGGATTATTTCATTTGTTTCTCCCCATACCATATAAGTTTAATAATTATCCCTGTTTCATAGATGAGGCAACTTGAATCCAGGAAGCATAGGCCATTCAGCATCACACAGTGAGCAGAGGACAGATTCAGCATCTGGTTCTATGTCTTTCTGGCCCTGAGACCCTTGCTGGGTGTTCCTGGTTTCCTGTTGACTGGGTTTTCATCTAGAAAACTCTTATGTCTGCTGCTCGTTTTATGAGCTGTATGTAGGTGCATTGTATGAAAGTATTTGTGTGAATGCATGTGTACATTTGTGTAGATGTGTGTAATGACTATACATTTGCATGTGCCATTTGTATGTGTGCATTTATATGTATGCATATGTGCATCTACGTATGTATGTTTTATGTTCCCTATATATATTGCTTCAAGCCTTAAGGAAGTCTGCTTCCTTTTCTGTGTACTGCTTAATTTGAAGAAAATTTAGCTACAAGGAATTCTTTCTTCCACATTATCATAATTTCCATTCCTAACAAACCTTTGGTGAATTCCCAATGTGTTAAATATAGAAAAGCTCTGTCTTCTTGGAATGATTCAAAATTCAACTTATGGTGTATGGCTGCCATAGATCGAAGCCTCGGGCTTCATAGAGTTGGGGAGTGGGGACTGAAGGCGGCATATAAGTCTCTTGGTAGACCAAGAGTGAAAAAGAGATGAAATTTCTGAAACCTATTTCTGTCTATCTTTAAATTGATAACGAACCCATGAAGGGATCCCACTTTTGTTGCTGTAACATCAGTAACAAGTTCGTTGTTTTAATTAAAGTTTCATGATTAATGTCAAATCCCTGGTTTCATGCTGGCACTTTCCATCATTCATGTCTCTGGGCAGATTAATTTATGACTTTTTAAGTGCAGATAATCAGTGCTTTAGGCAAATAAACTATTCTATCAAATCTAAGTATTCTTGCCTGGGTTGATTGTACAAATGGTCCTATTAAAAGAGAAGCAGATAGATATGTTGTATACTGGCCTATTAATCATGGTCAATATCCAGAGATGTTGCTAGACATTAATTCACTTTCCTTCTTGAGAATATCCCTGCGTACATTTTAGGCCATATGGAAAATGGGCAGATTTTATCCTAAACCATATTGATGGCACTTCTGAATGTGCAAAATGCAAATTGCTAAATTCCTGTGGGAAACTCGATGGGTGCATAGACCTTATTTCCTTTCTGCAGGAGTCTTTTTGACTTTCAGTTATATTGGAGGGTGTTGACGTGAAAGCCTGAACAATACATACTGTCACCAGATGATTTTCCTATTGATAAATGGAGCAATATCTTTTGTTTTATTACTCAATTCTTTCTTCCTCTCTTCCATTTTCAAGGCAAAAAATTGGGGAATGGTTTTCATTCTGGCACAAAATTGTTTTACTTTATCATAGCCAATCTTATTGTAAATTCATAAAAGCATCTAGAAGACTTGATAGTAAATTAAAGATGTTTCAAAGCAATAATGTTTCCTGAAAATGATGTGCAACTTTATTGCAGAGGTGATAAGAATTTGAAATTTCTATATGACTGATTTATTTCCGTATCCTGGGGTGGCATAAAGTGAGGCAAGTGAGTTTATCCTGACATCTGATGAAGGTATAGTGTGCAGGAAGATAGTGCTTACTTTACAGATGTCTAGTTTGTACTGTTCTGTTTTGTTGTTTGCTGACATATACAGCTCTATAAAGCTGGGGTTTAAAGGAACTGCTTGTTGCATTTTTAATCATAAAGAAGACTTGACTTAAATCATTCATAACCAAGCTCATATTTTAATCCATTACATGTACTTCATATTAGTGTCTCTGGCATTATGGAGGCAGCTATGTAAAATACTTGTTTTGCTTGTTTAGAATTGAATTGCAATGTTCAAAAGTGAACAATTATTGCTGGCATAGAAGCTGCCAGATCTCTTATAAATTCCTACACTACATTTTGCCACTGTGTCTAAATTGCAGGAGATGCCCTTACCCTAAGAAGAACAAATACAGAAGGAGGACCTACTTCTGTGCAGAAACTAAATCTCTTAGCTCTCTGCCCTGTTCAGTCACTGTGTGTTTACTTGTCTAAGACAGGAGCTCACTAAGGACAGTTACCAGGAGAGACAATTTTTAGTCCTCCAGGCCTTTCATTCCATTGGTGCATATTATCACAGTGTTTGCTGAGATACTAAAATACTTATCCCCCCTCACCAAGCCCCTCCCTCCATCTTTCTTGTACTTTCTCTCCCACTCCTTCTCCCTCTTCTTCTCCTCTCTCACCTTCTCCCAGCTGTCACACTAATCTTTGGGCTTTGCTTTTTAGGCAAAGCAGGAAAAATGCCAGCTCTGTGTCCCAGGATTCCTGGGAGCAGAATTACTCCCCTGGAGAAGGTTTCCAGAGTGCCAAGGAGAACCCCAGGTACTCCAGCTACCAAGGGTCCAGAAATGGCTACCTGGGCGGGCATGGCTTCAACGCCAGGGTGATGCTGGAGACCCAGGAGCTCCTTCGCCAGGAGCAGAGGCGGAAAGAGCAACAGATGAAGAAGCAACCTCCTCCTTCCGAGGGACTCAACTATGACTCATATAAGAAAGTCCAGGACCCCAGTTACACCCCCCCCAAGGGACCCTTCCGGCAGGACGTGCCACCATCCCCTTCTCAGGTCGCCAGACTGAACAGACTCCAGACTCCGGAAAAAGGGAGACACTTCTATTCCTGAGGAGAAGAATGGATGCTTCGTGTCTTGCAATAAAGGACATTTTCCTATTGAAGACTTGTACTGGGGAGTTTTTTAAAACCACATGGTACTATGGAATCTTTCTATTGTTGGTATCAGTGCCTTTAAGCAGTGTGGGCAAAGAAATGGAAGGCCTTAATGTCTTTGCCACTGTGTTGCAAGCAGCTATTTCATGGAAGGATTTCCCAACATCTGACAATCATCTGTTTGAGGCATTCACATGCTCTACATCTCTCTGGAGTACGAGGAATCTTGGCCAGTTGGTGAGATGTCCGTGACTTCGTGTTGCAGCCCATACTTTTCGACAAAAAATTTCTTTGACATTGAAGATGATGTTGATCCCTTTTTTCCTTTAAATTTTCTTAGATAGGAGGCAACATCTCAGTGTCTGGTGGATGAAAGCAGAAATTGGGCCTTCACTTCATAGAACAGTCATTTCTTGTACTTTGTAATCAATATGGTTTTCCCTATTCTTTCTTAGCTCCTCTTAACAGGAAGGTTCCTTCATCTTATTCAGAAAGCTTAGCCATATTGCAACACTGTCTGGTTATCATGGGGGTTCTTTTGAAATTGCCTTATAAATCAACGTTACCAATAAAGTGATTGTTCTGGTCTGTGTTTTTAAATACACTTGTTCAGTCATGTTCCTAACACATGTTGAGTCACCACAACTCTGTGTGGGGAACGTGGGAATGACCCCCCAGTGGGGGAGGAACTGGGCCTGCCCATCCGCCCTGTGTGTGTCATGATGTGGGAAGTGGTGGCTAAGAAAAGAATTCTCCTAGGATGAGCTTCTGGCCCAGTACATCCCAGTAATTATTTTAATTAATTTTCATTTGACAGGTTGGCAGGAAGGGCACAGAGTGGGACAAAGATAAATCAGACAGTCATTTTTAGATTCTAAAACTCATCTACTTTCTACAGTTTTCAAGTCAATTGGAAATGACATTTGTCTCATGTGTCCTCATGTTGTATCTCTGCCTGCTGATGCCATCCAAATAATTTGGCCATGAGACAGAAAAGACAAGTCAGGGATAAGCCATCACACATCTCAGAGAACATTTCTGTGTTCCCTAAATAAAATAACAAATAATTGCTCCTGTGTCATTATTTTAATCTACATGTGGGTCACCAGCACCACGGTCGCCCCTGTGTTTTCATCTTGTGGACTTGAACACCATGTATTGTAAACCATGGCTGGGTTGCTAAAGTGCCTGTAAATCCTGATGTGAAAAAGCTTGAGATGAAAGTTCGGCATACCATGTATGAACAAACAACAAAAGACAGATACTGATATGCCTTTTTTTTTTTTTTTTTTTTTACTGGCACATTGTATTTTTGTGTCCAATTATTTGTAGAAAATATGTGACAAGTCCATACATGTACCTATGTCTCTTTTGCATTTCTGTGTAATGGTTCTATTTGTTCATAATGTGCAGCAATGTTTAAATGGTGTTACCAGTGTAAGCGTGGTGACCTTGGGTGACCTTGGCTCTTTCTCACAGTCTTCCCAAAGCGGTGAGAAACAGCTTTCCCTGTACATATGAGACTTCTAATAAAAGGCATATTTCTTCCTGTTCTTTGTGATGTCAGTAATATTCCTGTGGAAACTCCTAGCTCGGAATTTTTTTAAGGTACTATTAACAGACATGGTTGTTTTCCATATTTTTAGAGAGTTGACAGTTCCTCATCTCTATTTACAAACATAGAAATGGGTGATTGATTATTTATTTGAACACCTGAGGAGAGGGAAAGGAAAAAAAGAGGATTTCTTATGAATCTACTGGATGGCCCAGGCCACCTGAAGAAGAGTGGGGATGCTGGATTGAAAGACTCAAAATGTTAGGACTAAATAGAAGGAAAAGTAAACAGAACACTATGTAGCATTCCATTTTTGCCCTTGGCTCCGTTCGGGGGATTTCAACAAGCTAAATGTTTTGACTGAGTCCTAATCTTGCATATGATGAGCCCACATAAATGTTCCAATGCTGGTCTACTTCTAATACAAACCCAGATCTTACCCTCCCCTCCCTACCCCCAGATTACAAAATAAAGCGTTGCTGTATCTTTTCGGCAGACATTAATGTAAGTATGATGCTTTGAAAGTGGCATATCCCTTGGTTTACCTTGTGCACACATCCAGATGTGATCTTCTCTATGCAGAGTGCCCAGCATTAGATGGTTGTCATAGCAGCTCTCATCTTGTTACTAAGCCCAAATTCTGTCACCTCAGTATTAGTAATACAGGTGTACAGTGAGCCCTCCCTGGTGGCACAAGTAGGGATGCAGCACTACAAGCTAGCTGAAGCCCTTTCAGTGCGAGTTCTATCCTCTGCCTTGGAGGTGACCCACATGGTATAGCAGACTTTTCCTGTCTCGCCCACTGCTCCCCTCAGCAGTGTACTTCGTTGATCTGTCTGTTCTGCTCCCCACTCTGTCTCTGGTGAATCCTCTCACCGCCCCTGCACCTCTGGCCTATACCACAGTTCTGCATGTATAAAAAAATAAAAAAAAATTTTTTAAAAAGTGTATAGCAAGCCAAAAATACATGTCTTTAGTTCTTACATGCATCAAAGTGAAAGAAAGGAGAAAAGTGAAGATGGAAAGATTTAATTTTCCCATGGACAGAAGTGGATAAGAACAGGCAATATTGAATTGTTGTGGGACCCAACTCATAAAGGAATCTGAAGATTAAAACTGACAGTTTAAGCCACACTAAAAAGAGAAGAAGAATAACTATAAGTCAGCATAAAAGTGAGAATCTGCTCCACATAGTAGTCTTGTCTAGTATGACCTGACCTCTGACTCCAGAACTCTTCACAAGGACCCTTGGGCATCACATGTCCATAGGAAGAGCCAGCCCTGGAGTGATCAGTGCATGCCCTGTGCTATACATGTCAAGGAAGGGGCCAGGTGACAACCTGAAAGCCCACACTAGATGACATTAAAATTGAGTGACTCAGCTGTCAGGAAAGATGGTTCCATTATTACATCATCACCACTTAGCCCCTTAAGACCATAGTCTCATAAGTATATGTAAATGTAAATTACAAAAAAAATATATGCAACATTGCATGTAACTTAAGCACCACCATTCACATCCTCTTCATTGGTCACTTAGAACAAAGACAGCTCAGAGGTCAGAGCATTCCATGATTGACAGGGCTACCTCACTAACAGAAAATTGGGACCTGGGATTCTCAAATTTCCTTCCAAGGAGGTCAGATATTTTGAATCAGAGATGTTTTATTCAGTGAGGGAAATAACTTTTATGACAAACACTTGGAAAGGAGCAGAAAATAAGGACACAGATCTGGCCACTTTGAAATCATTGCACTTTGAGTTCATCTGCATTGTGAGTTTGAAAAGGAGGCCAGAAGTAAGAGCCAAATTAGGTTTATCTATGCACAGCATGGCCGGTAATTTACCAAAATATGGGGGTCACCTCTGGGGCTATTCTCCTTCCCTAGTAGTTTCCACTAGGAAGTTTATTAGAAAGTACATCAATAATAGTCATATGTAGCACATGAAAAATGTATATGCCATTCTGTATTTGTCTGGTTTAATGTTTTCCTGATTCTGTCCTATGAGCCCTTTGCGCCCAGTCAAAATCAAACTTAGATGGAAAAGATAGTGCTTTGTTCCAGGTTTGTTTGTTAACCATGGAAGAGTTAGCCACTGACATTCATACTACCTCTAGGTTTATTCCATATGAATGTCCTTCTTTGGATAGCATATGCCAACTATTTAAATATCTACTTAACAGCCTTTTTTTTTTCTTTTCTTTTTTTTTTTTTTTAAGCAAAGAGTACTCTGATGATCTCATGTCAGGTAAGGAGATAACCTTTTTTTGCTTCTGAGACAGAATATCTTAATAAGGCAGCTAATAAGGGTGTTCACAGGTAAGAAAGTGAGAATGATGGAGACGTTTTAATGGAAGACTACCTTCAACCCCAATTAGCTCACAGAGCTGGCTGCTTGAACTAACTTTTAAATAAAATGTGTAGGATGAGGACTGTAATAGTTAGCATACGCCTTTCTATTTTTTAACAAGAAACTGATATTTTAATGTAGATCTCATGAGAAAATGAGAATATTGCCATGACACTCTACACAGAAGGAACTTACTTCCCCATTAGATGGGTTCGTTGCTCTAAAATTCATTTTCCTCGCCAGCATTCATCACACCTCTCTCTCTTTCCTCGGCTTTCACATTCCATTCAGCAAAGTAAAAATCTATAAAGGCATACATTTGGTTTCTCAAAGTTAAATTCCATAGTAGAGAATTTCATTTTGAAAGAATTAAGCAACCTTTGCTAAAGAAGATTAATCATCTTTTGTCACGAGTATTTTTATTTCCCTTTCTGAGTAATCAGCTTTATTTTCTCATTTTTAATTTTTTAAAACCAGTCATTCCCCAGTTGGCTCTAGTTAGTATTTTACTCAGGAGAGAAGTACAAAAAGCTAGGACGACGCACTCCCACAGTGAAGTCGACAATTACTCCTCTCTCATCCTTACCACTTATTTGCTCATGGATCAATTAAATGTGTGAAAAACATGCTTTTCTGAATTGTTCAACTCACTGCTGAGTTACCTCACACCACTGTTGGCTTAGAAAAGTCATTTGGAGTTTGTTCCTAGACACCATGCTTGGGTTGGGACAATTGAATTTTCTTCCTTAACCTGTCACCAACCTGGGAGAAACTGTGCTGAAGCTGGTGCTGTGGCAGGAGCCGTTCCCTGCCTCGGAAGGCAAGCTTGCTGCTCGCTAGTAGGCTCCTTCTGATACCGGTTTGGCTTCCACGAGGGATTTTATGATGCAAATATTTTAAGAACAACTTTGAAGATTTTGCCATTGAAAACAGTCTCACATGGCTCAGGGCCCAGCTAACTGCAAACTACAAGGGGGAAAAGTGCCACATTATTGCTGGCAAGTTACAGGAAGGAAAACAACACACATTTCTAAACCGCTTGTGACCTGGCTAATGATCTGGTTTCAGGGTTCAGTTCCTATCTGACTTGCTTCTATTCAGTTCTGGTTGTCAACAGCAACATAGTGACCACTGTTGTTTATTTTGGGAAAGTGGGGGGAAACATCAGCGTGACAACGCAGAGGTGGGTCAGATTAGGGGTTGCCAATGAATGCTGGGTACTTTGGAATAATGCAAACTTTGAAATTGCCTTGTGAAGCCTCTGAGTGAATTTGTCCTACACATAGCCTGACTTACAACTCCGTTTCCAAACTTTCCTTCATTTTATCTGCTTGGCTAGATTCCCAGCTGAGCCTGAGAAGTCCCTCTGGCCCAAGCAACCAAAAGTTCTCTACAAATCTGTACCTGCAATCAGGGTGCATAAACTGCTGGGTTCCCACTTCATTTGGTTGATTTATTCATGTAGCACTTTACAATTTGCACACTAGTATCATCTTTTCTTTTTGAGTCCCCAAACCCCATAAAGCAAATTAGAGAAATGATAGTCCAATTTCACACACAAGGAAACTGATACTCCCCAAGTTGGCGACAGAGTTTGTGAGCAGTTCAATTAGAGCACAAAACTCAGTGTCTGAACTGTATCCCTCATTTGTAGTAACGCTTTGATCAAAAGAAAATGCTGGGCCCTCCCTATTGGCGCAGCGGGTTAAAGTACCGCATTATGAAGCTCTCCAAAGCCCCTGCAGCATGAGTTCGATCCCATGGTGTGACAGGTGACCCACATGGCATGGCAGACCTCTCCTGACCCGCCCACTGCTCCCCTCAGCAGTGCACTTCGAAGATCTGCCTATTCTGCACTCCACTCTGTCTCTGGAGAATCCTCTTACCCACAACACCTCTGACCTGTACCCCACTTCTGTAAGCATAATAAACAAATCTTTAAAAAAAAAAAAGAAAACGCTTTGCTTTTAACAGTTTTAAAATCCTTATTGTATAGTAATTCATAGAGTAGGAAAGAAAAAATGTATAGAGTTATGAAATTAGTAGCAAAGATAAATTTTGTCAATACTATCAGCATACACTGGAGTATTACACATATATGTTATGCCTATATATGTTTGTAAATATAACAATCCCCTTATTCACTATCTAAGATTTAAGTTACCTGAAATCAATGTGATACAATTCTATGTGGATTAAGATATTTTGAGAGAAAGAGTCCATATTCACATAACTTTTATTACTGAACAGTGAAATAATTATACTATTATAACTTACTATTGTTAATCCATTACTATTACAAATTATTAAATTTTATAATAGGCAGGTATGTCTAGAAGAAAAAATAGTATATATGATTCAGTATTTTCTATTTTGAATACC